ATAAAAAGATATTAATTATTTTTTTTTAACATATGTCATAAACAAACTTGTTAGAAAGATCCTTAAGGTAATTAATAATATCTGCTTAATACCAGAATTTTTCGAACTGATGATTGGGAGGCATTTCTGAGGTTCCCTTGGTTTCCTGCAGGGCCATACAAACAGCTGTGGGAGTTTTCGGCGGAAATCAAAGCTACATTGATCGTGTCAAGATGGCGAAGGCGTCGGTAATGCCAGCGCATGAGGGAGATATTGATTTCGACGTAGTTTCAACTCCCAACTGCCCAAAAATCATGGCAGTTGAGCTCTGTAGAGACCGTAATGTACGTATTTACCTTGTAATTTAAGATTCTAGACCCATTTTAGGGGGTGGACATGGTTTGGTTTTGGTTGGAATTGACATTGAATCATTGGTTAACTGATTTTTGGTTATTAAATTTTTAAAATTATTAACCAAACTAAAAAGTTTTAAGTGTTTTTGGTTTTGATTAAATTTTTTTGAGAATAACCATTTGGTTTATTTCTTTATTTTTTATGATTTTTAAAAATTTTTTAATGATTATTTTATTAATTTTAATTATTAAAAAATAAAAATTACTTTTCATTATGTAATTAAAAATCAAAATAATAATAAAAATAATACATTAAAATTGTAAACTTATAAAATCTTATTGGGCTAATTACTGAGATTGTTCATAATCATAATTAGTTCATTATAATGAGAAATGATCAGAGTCTTAATTATCATGCACGTCGAGCTAGCTGACTCTAGAAAAACACTTGGTCCGAAGTTTCTGTAACATGTTCCATGGGCGCTGAACATTACGTCATTACCGTCATACCGTGTAAACTATAGTTACCTGTGACCGTCAAAATAGAAGGAAAAAAAGAAAAGAACTTAGAAAATTGATTTGCTCTCTGGAAATTAGCTATCTCTGACTCTCTATATATAAACTAAGCTTAAATTAAGCTTAATGCATGCAGCATTTCATTAATCCACTTCTAAAACAAGTTCTTCTTCTATTATTGTGGTCATTGCCTTCGTTTTGTAATTTGTAATCTTGCTGCATTTATATTCGAGAAATGGATAACATGACTGCCTATTTTCCATACCCATTGCACCATTGCAAAATCCTTCACTTGGTTTGTATATTTGCGTTATGATTACGTTGTTTTTATTATTTTTATTATTACTTTTAGTTTTTAACAAGATATTGTCGAATTAATGAATGCAGGTGAGGCATGGACAAGCGATGCACAACGTTGAAGGAGACAAGAATCGAGATGCTCTGCTTTCCCCTCACCTATTTGACGCACAACTCTCTCCCCTTGGCTGCGAACAGGTTGATCAACTCCGGAAGCATTTTCATGCGAGTGGACTCCTTAACAGGATCGATTTAGTCATTACTTCGCCATTATTAAGGTAAGGATTTTTTAAACTTGTTTTTGTATTCTTAACCCC